GTTTCCTCCAGCACACCTCCCGCTCTCATTCCTGTGTCCAAAGAGGAGGATCAGCCAAGAAGACAGCCAGGGAATGTTGCTGCCCCAGCGCCGGTGCCAGGGTGAGGAGGACGGGAGAGGAAGGGGCATTTCCCGAGTCCTGGCTACCCAGGATTCCCCATCTTCCTCGCCGCATCATATTGGAATGGAAACGTCTCTCCATCCTGCACTGAGGAGAGATCATCAGGGAAGTGAAAAGGGAGAGCAGAAGCACAGGTGGGTCTCCTCTCTCGGAAGGAAGCAGCATCTGCGCTGGGCGCGGGGAAGAAAACCCTCTTCATTGGGAATACAGGGAAGCACAGGCTGGCCGCAGCTGGCGAGGAGTCAGGGCAGGATGGCATCAGAGCTGGCGAGGAGGCCACCCGAAGTGGAACGGCCCCGGGAGGGGAGGGAGGTCCCCGCGGGGCGAGGAGCGCCGCGCTCCGCCTCAGCAGCCGCGTCCAGCCGTGTCACCCGCGGGCAGCGCCCCCCGCCCCGGCCGGGAGCCCTTTGCACACCGAAACGGCACCGGCGGGAGCGGCGGGCGGCTCCCGTGCGGCACTCACCTGCCGCCGGCTCCTCCGGGCGGCCCCGCCGGGCGGGCGCGCTGGCACCACACGGCAGGCGAGAGTCAGCGCCGCCGCTGCCCATTACCGCGGCAGCCCCGCCGCCGGCAGCGCCCTGCGGCTGTCCCCGTCCTCCCGCAGCCTCCCGGCGAGCGCCGCTCCCCCGCCGCTCTGGGCGCCGGCCGGGCACACCGCGCGGCTCGCGGCGCCTCACGCCGCCACCATCGCCCTCCTGCCGGCGCCGCGCCGCGCCTCACCCGGCCCGCCGCGCCCCCGCCCCCGCCGCGCCCCCGCCCCCGCCGCCCGCCGCGGGCCCGCCCCCGCGCCTCATTGGCCCCGCCGCGCGCCCGCCGCCGCCCATTGGGTGTCGCGCCTGTCAATCACCTCGCGCAGCGCACGGGGGGGCGGCGCGAGGAGAGGGCTTCGCAGTTCCCCCCCCGCCCTCTGAGCCCGGCTCTGATTGGTCACACAGCCCGGGGGGGCGGGACTCTCCCGAGGAGCGGCCACGCGATTGGCCAGCGCGGCTGTCGGTCAGCGCGCGGCGATCGGCGGCGCCGCTGCCCCGAGCCGCGGGGAGGGCGCGGCGCGAGGAGCGCGGCCGGGGCGGGACCCGCCGGGCCCGGGCCGGGGCAGGGCCGGAGGCAGCGGGGAGGGAAGCCGGGAGGGAAGCCGGGAGGGAAGCCGGGAGGGAAGCCGCGATGCCTCCCGTGAGACGGGAGCGAGCGGCCGCGGATGGAGGCGGCGGGAGGGAGGCGGCACCGCGGCGAGGGCCGGTCCCCGCGCTGGGCCCGAGCCCGGTCGTGCAGCGCAGGCCGCGCTCCTGAGGGGCTGCGGCGCGCGGGTGCGGCTGAGGGGCTGCGGGAGTTCAATACCGCGGGCAGCACGCCGTGCCTTGGCTGATTGAACCTGCGTGCCCAGGGAGCAGCTCCCAGGCGGGGCCGGAGCTGTGCGCAGTTCGGTGTAAATGTCTGCCAGGCAGACGGAGCAGTGAGAGCGGAGATCTCCTGGCTGCGGCCGGGAATTCCCGTAGCCACGCCGGCAGAACGCCGCTGTGCTGTGACAGTGTCGGGACCCAGATGCAGACCCTCGGTGCTGGGTTCCAGCATTAATGTAAAATTAACCAGCAACCCCATGTTGCCCTCGTGCCCTCTGGACAGCCGTGCAGGTGTGTTTGAGTTTGGGATCCCAAAGCGCCATTGGCCGTAGTGAATTCCAGAGTCAGGCTGGTGTGGTTTGTGATCTCTGGGAGCTGATCCTAAACCTGTCAGCCATCCGAGTCAGAAACCAAGCCAGCCATCAATGGAAGCACAGGGAAATAGGGAAGATAACGCAGTGGAGCTCTGAGAGCAGCTGGAAAATTGAAGCCTCGGGGCTTTGCAGTCCTCTCTTCTTTCCCATGACAAACGGAATGGAGTCCAAGCCTGATCACAGTCTGGGAGGCTCCTTATCCCAGTGTTTTCCTCCTTTCCCCTAAGCTGCCTCTCACTCTCCTGGCATACTGCAGAGCCTGCCAGCATTCAGTGGCTGGAGTGAAAGGAGAGAAAGAATGACTGTGTGGATGGCCACAGGCCTAAGCTGAGCTAAGTTACTTCAGAGAGGTTGGATATTTGGGCTATTGAAAAGGTCAGCCCTTTGCTTACAATGTGTTACTCTTCAGCCCTTACCCCAGCTGCCAGAGGGTGTGCACTTGGAGCTGTCCTGGAAGAGGCAGTGATTCTCCTTTTTTTAAAGTTACACTGAAATGTTGCAGACAGTTGTACTTCTCATACAGATTTTCCTGGAAAATCCTTTTTTATTTCCCCTAAATATTTTTGAAGTTAAGCAAAAAGACTTGAATATTTTGTACATTTGTCTTACATCTGTCCCAGTTTTGCAGCTGGTCTATACACACAGAGTAATTCCAACACACTTGAGGGAGGCATCACTGGGCTTTTTAAGTGCATATCACCTGCTTAGGATTTGGGAAATGAGGCCAGGATTTCCAGAGCACATCAGACTGAGAACATGCAGTATGGAGCCCACAGATACTTGGTTCTGACTTGGAAAATACCAGATGGAAAACTGGCAGCTGTGAAGTGGATCAAGAAAGGCAATTTAAAATTACAGTGGCCCTGAAGAGATCCTTGGTTCTTCATACCAGAAAAACATCAAATAATCAGTTGTGCTGGTTGTATTTCAGAAGTTGGCTTTATTCTGAGTATATTACCAAAAGTTAACCCGTGAACTGCTCTGATTTATCTCCTGAATAACCTGCAGCACCCAGGCTAATTCCTAAGACATCCCTGTGACCAAGACTTTAACTTTCCTCAAACTGAGATAGACATTTTCTGTCCAGTGGAATAAACACAGAAGGTCTGGTGGTTTATCCAGTGACTTGTGTTTCAAACATCATTATTTATTAACATTTTCCATTTCCTTCATAGCTTTTGGGTTCAAGTTACACCAGGCTGGGAGGTACACAGTGTAAGGCTGCTTTTGCCTTTGTTGTGTGGGGAGAAATACAACACAGGCAATTATCCTACAGATTATCTGGTTTACAGCTTTTAAGAGCAGCCATCCTCAGTTCTTGTGATTTTGGGGAAAGCTTGGGAGGTTTCAGAGGGTGAGAGGAATTACTGTGGGAGGAAGGGTGAGATCTTCAGCTGCAGATTGGAAGCCAGAGGCCACCACAGCATTCTCAGGTTACTGAGTCTTACACCAGACCAACTCAAAAGCTCTTGTGACTTCTGCTGGCAGCTCAGAGCCCAGGGGAGCCAATAAATGGCAAAAAGGGATTAGCAAGGACAGGGATGAGGAGCCCCAAAGCTCCTCCTTGGGTCAGAGCACTCAGATGGGTCAGCAAGGACCCCTGTGTTGACTTCATTTCCAAATTGCAAACATCTCTTGACTGGTCCTGCTGGCCACGAGCCCGATTTGTGACAATGGCCCAGCTCAAACCATCGTCAGCTCAGGATCTGAGCCAAGCTTTGGGCAAATGGTCACATTTTTACTTAATCCAATATTATGAGCTTGAAAACAAGCTGGTTACACCAAGGTACTCAGTGCTCTCTTTTAATGTCAGTAGCTGAGTGAAAAACTCTTGTGTAACTCCCAGAAGGGTCCTTCTGATTACAAAAAAAAACGGTGCTTTACTTTATGTACAGTGTCAAATCTCTTCTGCAAGCAGGAAGAATAGTCATGTCATGAATGGGTAGGTACTGTTTTATTATTTAATGTGTATGACACAATCTATTTAAACCATACGTGTGTCACATCTGCTGCCTTCCTTGCCTGTGGAAGGACAGCTGAGGAAGTTCATTTGTGTGTATTTGTGTTGTTTGTGTATCATCTGTGTTGCCCTGGAAGTGGCACAGCACAGGATGCTGAGAGCTGCTCAAGCTGGGAGCTTGGTGGGGCTGGCCAGGGAAGCCCCAGAGCAACCTAACCCTGCTCTTTATAATCACCAAGGACACCCTTCCTAGCCAAAAGCTCATGCTCTGTGGCTCCTCTTTTCCCCTTGCTGTCTCGACACTCAGACTCACAATCTCCACAGAAATCTCCAGTCACAATCTCGACAGAAATCCCTGTGTATTTTTTTTTCTGGATTTTGCCTCCTGTTCCATGGCTTTGACTGCTGGTGGAAAAAGTCAAACTTCCTGGCCCAAGTAGAGGGATGATCTATGCTGTATTTCTATTATTCCGTCAGGCTTTAAAGCTCTCCAGCCTCTCCCTTATCCTTCAATGCCTCGTCATTGGCGTGACTAAGGACAGGTTGTTCACCAATTGAAAAATGACCTTTGCTAGGAATAGCTGTCATAAATCTCCATTTCCCTGTCCTTCTGTGCATGAGCCTGCAGAAATGTCACTGAGGAAGTCAAGGAATTGGATTGTGTCAGATTTGCAAGAACATTCTGCTTTCTGAGGCAAAGGTCTGTGTACATGAGGTTGCCCATACCTGCCACATTTTAACCTCCTTGTATTTCTCCATCCCATCAAACCTTTTGATCCCCTCTTAATTAAAGTAGTGGAGGATTCGTGCTGACCCCAGTAATATGTGAAAGTACCACCCTCCTGCTCCCCAACTTGTCCCTAACTGGTGCTTGACACGGTAACATTCCCTTCTGTAACAAGTAACATTATGTTGTCTGCTCTTTTTCTTTGTTTCTTCACATCCCAGCAGTAATTTTAAAATCCATGTGTATATATATATATATATATATATATACACATACCTACATAACAAATCATAGTATAGATAGGAAAAAAAAAGAGAATTTTTTAATCCTCCCTTCTTCATTTGTTTCTTGTTTGTTGCTGATAAAATTCCACTCAGCTGTTATTTCACATGGTCTGGCAACACCCAGCAGCCATTCTGTATTGGAGGGAATAATGTTTTGAATATTCCCTCTGCTAAATATCAGTGACAGTTGAAAAGGGTTGTGTGTGTGCGCAATATCCCATTTTATTTGTGCTCAGAAAGCTTGACTTTGAGATTGGCAGCTGGAAAAGGCAATTCCCACACTGCAGAAGCAGAGAGCCCAGCTCCCATCACAGCCTAGACTGACAGCAGATCATTCCAGCAATACTCCCAGCACAGAAACACCACCACTTGTTCTTGCCTTGCCAGCACAAGAAGCAGATTTTGGGATACACTCTGGTGGGCTTGTGTTTTGTTAGTGTTCTTGCCCAGGCTGAGGCAGGCAGCCCAGCCCTTGCCCTGGACCAGCTCACCCGTGCAGCATTCCCAGCCCAGGCAGGTCCCAGCAGAGCTGTGTACAGGCACCCACTGTCTGAAAGCTCCCAATCCAGAGCCTGCAGAGCCAGGGGCTGGGGGAACTCACCTGCCCCCCTTTCTTATGGATTGTTTCTTCCCCCTTGTTGTGGCTGGAGCCTGCACTTGCATGTGCTGAGACCCTGTTTTGATGGTTCAGAAGAAGAGCAGATATAAAACATCCTCACCTGTCTTTCCTCTACCTCCCCTCTCTTGTCTGCCTGACGTTCTTCCCAAACCGCTCGACACTAAAGGACAAGTTGTATTTATCTGCAGAGGAGGTCAAGGACAGGAGTCACATTCCTGAAATGCAGAGGTCACAATGCAATTCAGCTTGTGGAAGAAGGAGCAAAAATGGGGCACCAATGGTGGAGACCCCATGATCAGAACACTCTGGATTAGTGATGTTTTCCCCAAATTTATTATCAACTCACCTGTCAGTCAGCTTGCAATGGTCTGAATGAGTTTTGTCATTACCTTTTGATACCCATTAAATTGTTTACACCTTTTAGTAGCCCTTGCTTCTCTCTTCTCAAAAAAAAAAAAAAATCGAAAAAACAAAAGCAGCAGCCAGTTTTTTGTCCATAAATAGCAACTTTCAATTTTTTGTCATGCTCGGTGTCTCCTGTACCCTTTCCAGTTCTTCAATACCCTTCCTGTGTGGTCTCCCTGACCTTTTCTCAGAGTGTAATTATGCTTGTATACGACATCCTGCAGCACTAATGAGGCAAAGAATGCCTTCCTCCCTCTCTTTTTAGAATAAACAGCACAGACCGTGGCCAGCAGGACCAGGGCAGCAATCTCCCCCTGTACTGGGCTCTGGTGAGGCCACACCTCAAGTTGTGTGTCCAGTTTGAGCCCCCCAGGACAAAGGAGACATGGAGGTGCTGGAGGGTGTCTGGAGGAGGGCAGTGAGGCTGAGAAGAGTCTGGAGCACAGTTCTGAGGGGAGTAGTTGAGGGAGCTGGGGTGGCTCAGCCTGGAGAACAGGAGGTTCAGGAGGGACCTTATCCCTCTCTACAGCTCCCTGACAGGAGCGTGAAACCAGGTGGAGCTCTTTGAAGAGCTATAGGAGAAAATAAGAGATGGAGCAAGTTCAGAGGAGGCAGACTTGTTTCCTGGCTCCCATGCCCATTATACATGATCCTGGCTACGACAAATCTCTGACTAACCTGCTCTAGATGCTTCATGGTAGCACTAAGGAAACTGCAGATTTGGTGGTGGGAAGGTCAAGGAGTGAAGGTTGTACAGCCCCGTGAATTTTTTTCTACTGTGATCCTGTTTATCCAAAAATCAGTGGCTGGACATTCAATCAGAATAACAAGCTGGGGAAATGTAATCTGCATTTTACCTGCATTTCTGTAACTACCAGAGAAATCATAAAATAAAACACAGCTATTGCTAAAGATTACTCAGGAGACTCCTCTTTGCCCAAATATATGTCACCTTTCAAGAGAATGCCTAGGTAACTTTGGATCTGCACCATCACATCACCTACACAGTTTATCAGTATCAGGGGTACATTCCTTGGAGTGCAGGCATTAGGAATGCACAGGCCATCATAGATCAAATCTGAGGCTTTCTTGGAAGGCAGTGGAGAAGCAATTACCTTACAGATGTGATAAGATAATCTGTTACGCAAAAAGGTGTTCCTACCAGACTAAGGGGGAAAATTGTGGCTAACAGCTTGTACAACCAGAACCCCAAGCATCAGACAATGGGACATTGGTGCTTGAAGAGAAGCGTCTCAAAGCACAGGGTGGAAATATGTATGTGTGGTGTGGCCTTCAGCCTGGAGAAGAGGTACAATTATCACAGTTCCAGCTCATGAAAATGAACCCCAAGGACCTGCTCATGTATGCAAGACATTCAAGTGGACAAGAGTTTGCAGTAATGGTGTTGGGCAGGTGTGAAATGGTGCAGAGAGACTCAGCTCTGAGAGGACAAGCAATTACCTGTGTTGTAAAAATTACTCTGAAGTTTCCTGCTCCTACTTTTAATACCGCAGCAGCCACCCAGTTTAGATAAATATCTCTAGTTAATCTGGAAATTAAACTAGATAATCACAGCCAAGTTAGAAAATCCCAGACTCAGAAACTGTTCTTCATTTTGCCCAGATTAACCCACAGGGATTTAAATGGTGTTGCAAGTTATTTTTAACTGAGTTATCACTAATCTCCCTCTATACTTTTTAGACTGTACATATTAAAGTCACACTGTCAGAAAACATGGAGACAGTTATCTTCCAAAAATAAAAGAGCTGACAAGTGGGATATAGGACTTATTTTGCCAGATCATGGTCATGTTTGGGCTCCTCCTGTTTCTCCCGCTACACAACTTTATTCCTGTTAAATTCCTCTGCAAGAGCTATGGAGGAATTGCAGCCTTAAGGACCATGTATCCCTATGGCAGAGCCCTCAGCAAGTCCCAGGCTGAAGGAGGAGGTTGGTCAGTGTAGATATCAGTGTAGATATCTCTCATCCACAGTCTTGGGATGGGAAATTCAATATTTTTTTTCACTGACTAGTTTTAGGAATCTTACTGACACTTCACGCATGCTAGAAGGAGTGACTGCTTTGTCAGCCATGATAGGTGACCCTCTTGTGCCTGGGGCAACCTTGAATGATTAGTTTTGAAGTTAAAGATCTGGAGGTGTAAATGGGTTTCTCTCCGGTAAAAAAAAAAAAAAGTAGAATCCCAAAACCCCTGCAAATGTACTCCCAGCCCAGGTCAAGTGCTGGGAGCAATTCCATTGCTGCACTAGGAGATACAAGCTAATCAATCACCAAGACACCTTCCTTTCATCCCTAACCAGAGCTCCAGAGCTCAGCAAAGGACCTGCACAACAACAGCACAAGGCTGGTAGAGGCATCTCTGCATCTCTCTTCCTGGCAGGAATTCCCGTATCAGCCAAGCTAGCAGGATCTGTCTGTTTTGGAAAACAACGGATATATCAAACATCCTGGCAAAGCCCAGGAGAAATGACAGTTCAATGATGTTGAAAAGAAAATTATCAAAGAGAGATTAATTTGTCTGACAGTACGTCTTTATGCTCTCCACTGAGGAAGAACAAGAGTCCTTTCATGCATATTGAATTTACTTCTGGTGAGTCAACCTCTGTCAGCAGGGCTCTAAGTGCTGCCGGTTCAGGAAAACGGGTGATTGCTGCTACCTGGCACCTGCCCCCTGCACACCTCGGAGCATCAAAGCTTTCCAGCCCCTGCTTCTGCCACCAGCAATGCTCATTTTGCACCCTGGCTCAGGGCATAGCACTCAGAACATCTCCCGCACTGTCCATCAGAACATGAGGAGGCAGATGGGACAGCCAAATGCGGGGCTGCAGACCATGGAGAGCCCAGAGTCCGGGTTTGGAGATGCAAAGAGGGAAGGGAGCAAAGGTGCCTGTTAACAGGAGTGGCAATCCCAAGCCATTTCTCACATGACATTGCAGGTGAAGCACCCTGCACTGCCAGCTGCCTGGGGCCCTCTCTGTCTGCAGGACACAGCAAAACTTGGCCATGTTTTGCCACAGCCAGCTCTTGACTGCTGTGGGTCACAGCTTGTGCAGAAGCAATAATCCCTGAACAGGCACAGAATGATGCTGAGGAACAATGTTCTACTAAGAGTACCTGCAGCAGGTATTTATCCCACACTCACCATCCATTCTCTTCCAAGACATCCATGAGCTAAAAGCTCAGTTACAAAGTAATGCCCAGAAGTTTCAGGTCCTTTTTTCTCATAAGATGCCAAACACAAATGACAGTGGTATGGATTTTGCCTTATGCTCCTGCAGTTCTGCACACCATTCCGGCAGCCCAAAGGTGGCAGCAACCCAACTGAACTCATGGGTTGTTTCTTTCCTGCAAGCAGGCAATGACACATGAGGCAGCAGGAATGGGGTGTCACTCCCCACTGTGACACAGCTGGGGACAAGGACAGAGTCACGGGGGGACTGGCTGGGCACAGGGGGTGCCTCTGGGAGGCTGCAGCAGCTGGCATCCCAAAGAGCAATGCCCACACAGGTCCCTGTGTCCAGGGCAGCAGCAACAGCTCCTGTTTGCTCAGGCACTTCTTCCATCACAGGGTTTTCTTTTGCAGCCTCTTTGTTGAGAGGGCAAACTGTATAGGCAGTAAAACTGAGCAACTCAACGTGAGCCTGTTGTTTATTTAAAGCATTGCCCAAACTACTTATTTTTCCTGGCATGAATCTTGGTACTGATGGAATAAGTTGAGCAAATCTTCCCAGCCAAAAGATGAACCAGAAACTGTCACAAAAGCAGGCACGAAAAGTTTGGCTAAAGTATAAGGAACCAAAGAAAGAGGGTCTGGCACCTGGCAGCTTCAGTAGCTATAGATGTCCTTCAGCTTGCTTGACCCACTACATCAGTCCATGCTGACCTCACTGCTCACCACAAAATTGAGATGCATTCATCTCAAAATTGAGATGCCCACAGCAGCATCACCTCAGTGAGACTAAAATAAAACCCACTGAAAGGTTTTATATAATACCAAGGCTACAAGATCTCTAATGTAGTTTTCTTATTGGAGCAAGAGCCAAGTACAGCTTAAATTCATTAGCTAATAGCCTGTGACAATGAAGGACAAAGACAATTATTATGCACATTTCCAAGCTGATTGCTTCTGCGTGAAGAAAACGCAACAAATTATTGTTCTCCTATATTAACGTACCATAAAGGATTACTATCATATCCATTTCAAAAAATCCCTATCCCTTTCAAAATGCAGATGAATGCCAGATAAATTTGATTTTTATAGATGAAAGCTTGGTGGAAAATTCAAGATTTTATTAGGGCTATGGACAATCACATTACATTTTATATGATATGACGACTTCTCTCCTGAATCAGGAAATTGATCTCAGGACATTTTTTTTTACTGAGGGCTTACCAATTCCCTGAGTATCTCTCATGTATCTCAAACACTTATCCTTGGATATAATAGTCAGAGACATTCTTAATAGCTGCTTGTATTTATAGGAAAGTCAGAAAAGAAATACAATATAATATCATAGCCTCGTAGAATCATTGAGGTTGGAAAAGATTTCCAAGATCATCAAGTTCAACCTTTGTCAACCAGACCACAGCACTGAGTGCCGCATCCACGCATTGGTTACCGTGTTCAACAAGGCACTTACTGCTGGTCATGAGAGGAGATCAGGCTGGTCAGGCAGGAGCTGCCTTCCCTAAACCCATCCTGGCTGTCCTTGATGCCCTGCCTGTCCTGTGAGTGCCCTGTGCTCACACCCAAGATCTGCTCCATGACCTTCCCAGGCCCTGAGGTCAGGCTGACAGACCTGGAGCTCCCCAGCTCCTCCTTCCAACCCTTCCTGAGGATGGGTGTCCCACTGACCACCCTCCAGCCACCTGGGACCTCGGGGGCAGCCAGGGCTGGTGGTGAATGATGGATGGGGAGTGCCTCGGTGAGCCCTCCCAGCAGCTCCCTGGGTGCCTTCAGGGGAATCCCATTCTGCCCAACACACTTGTGAGCAACTAAGGGGCACAGCAGGTCACTACCTACCTTCTGCTAGATCACAGGAGGTGTTTTCTGCTCCCTGCCTACCAGCTCAGGGGGCTGATTGTTCTAAGGAGAACCAGTCTATCCCAATGTGGAAAGGATAAATAATTTCACCGCTTCCAGCAAAATGTATGGTAGATCACAGTGCACACTCCTTGTAATTTTTGAATGCCAACAGGAGAAGAAAGCATTGAGGAAAGGACGTGTCACCTCAGCCTGCCAACAGCTGTAAATTCAGAGGAAGCCACAGCAGCATGGGGGTTCAGGTGGTGGCTGCTGCTACCCATTTCCCAATAAGCAACTCCTGTGGAAAAGCCATTGGGAAGCACTAGGAAGGCAGCCAAGTCCACACACAGCACACTTACCCTGGCTAGCTCAGCGAGGAGAGGCAGAAGGGCCTCTTGTATGGCCAGTTCGGCGAGGTTTATTTCAGCACCCCAAAAGGGAACTAGAGACAAAAGAAAAAGCAGGAGCTCTGCACCAAGTTTAAGCAGGGGAAGAGATGGGGGCAGTACCAAGGGCAGGGCAAAGGGCCTCGGCTTTCAGGGAGGAAGGGGTACCACAACCAAGGAGGAAACACGGAAAGGAGAAACCAGGGCAGGGTGGGACATAGGGGAAAGGAACTGGGATGATCAGTGTTAAGCAAAAGCCCACGAGGAAGAGCTTTCTGTGCACCCAGGTGTGGGGAACTCTGTGGTTAAGTGTCTCCAAGGGAGGGCTCTGGGATTTCCCTGAGGGGGAAGGAATCAGAGGATTCCAGAGGAATCCCCAGGGTTAAGGGGCCAGCTCTGTACTCAGTACACGTAGAGCAGCTCTGGCAAGAGGCTGCTGTCCTGCACTGGGTCAGAAAGGGGAGGACTGACACCATCGTCCGCCAGCAGCAATGGCTTCCTCTCATTTTCATTTCTCACTGTCATTTTCAGTGACAATTTGAGTTTTTCTGAAGCTGTGACTGCTTCCTCACCCCTTGCTCCTTTCCCAAAAAGTGCTGGATAACTTATTTCAAAAGACACTTCTCCCAGCATTTGAGTAAATGACTCACAACTTAAGTAACACCAAGCAGGCTTTGCAGAGGAGCACAGAAGCCTGGGGTCAGGCACAGCATTTTCTGAAGTCACACATTCTGCTAAGCATCCACCAGTGTTCTCAGGGACCATGCAGGACCACTCAGAAGCCCACCTGTGGCACAGCCCATCCTCCTTGCCCTCTGTTCTCACTCCCAGAGTGTCACTCAAGGTGTCCCAGTTACTCTGGAGTTAGCAGGTCATTCACACAGAACCCCAGCCTTACTCACCCTCTAGAGATAAGTGTGAGCAGGAGGCCTCCTTCAGCAAGGGCTTTGGAATCCATCCTGAAATGAAAAAGCTGCAGGGGAATTCTGGTGTCCCAGCACGGCCTGGGATCTGCCATTGCAGCTGGCCCACAGGTTAGAGGTGTGCACTGCAAGGCTTTACCCTCTCGTGCCCCCCAGTTCCACAGCCCCAGCTTTGTGTGTTTTCTCTTTGCAGCTGACACTTGCAGTATAAGCCACTGAGGCTGTAATAAAATGCTCAGCACTAACGATGCATATGGAGTGTTACAGATTAGGAAATGCAATGTCATTTTTTTAGATGTCATAAAAACATTATCAGATTCCCAGCAGCCCCCAGAGAGACTCGGGAATATGTTTATATGCTAAAATGTCAAAATCATAAAGTGCCTGCTTTTGCACTATTTATTTTTCATGGTGGTGAAGTAGTTATTACATGACATTTCATAAATACAGTGACTCAGAAATAACTAGTGTGCTGAATAACAAGCTTTCCACTCTAATACAGCACCACACATTTTAACCCCCCAATTTTCTTGAGGCACTCACACAATCTAGCTTAAATACGACAAATAAAAGTGAACTTGGAGCGGGGAAGAACAATTCTGCTGCTGAGTTTTAGTTTCTTTTCCTTTCAAGGGAGGTGTACTGATGGTCACAACAGCAGGGTTAGGCAATGAGCAGCAGTAACTGTGTTTCCCAAAGGGCAGGGACAAAAGAGGCAGCGTGTCTCACTGTTATGACACAAGGGAGAGGTTGCAAGAGAGTATCACGCTAGCAAGATTAAAATTAACAAAACCGCTGAACAAAATCCTTCCTTGAAGGAAGGAGATGATTTAAAATTGCTTGTAATTAATACAGGAGAAACAACGCTGCACACAGCCCTGCTCTAGCCAAGAAGTCTTCCAGATTTTCACTGCTCAGCTTGTAATACTCCTACTTACAATTTTTTTTTTTTTAAACACACAGCGGATTTTATTGCCTTTTTTAGCTATTAATATGCAACCAATTATAAATTGTGAGTTGCAGCACTGGATAATTTCCCTTCAGGAATGCTAAGCAGATTCTGTGCTGTATCAGCCCATGTGACAGCACAGAACTACCATCCCCTCTGATTTTTTTTAGCAGCAATTCCTAAACACATGCTCAGCAGGAAAACTGGAGCAAGCCCCATCTTAGGACCTCCTTGTGATGCTGTTTTTATAACTTGCTGGATATTCTGCCTAAAAAGAAAGGAAAATTTAGGATTTAACTCAAGTTCTCAGGAGTGGAGATTCAGATGAACAATAGGAAGTAACAGTAGTATTTTTTACATCTCGGAGGTACTGTCTTATTTTCTCTCACTGCTCTCACCACACTCAAAGCTTCCTGTTGAGGCCTGTCAGAGGAGAGAGGGCAAATTTGAGGTGCAAGGTTAGAAAAATAGAAGGAAAACAGAGAAGGCAGCGTGAACTTTGATTTCCTGCAGCCACAATGCACCTCACACAGCAGCAGTGTCCCTGTGGTGAGGAGCCACTGACAGCTCCCAGGATGAGCTGAGCTGGAAGGGACCCCAGGGATGCTCATGGCCAGCTCCCAGCATGAGCTGGGCTGGAAGGGACTCCAGGGATGCTCATGTCCAGCTCCCAGCATGAGCTGGGCTGGAAGGGACTCCAGGGATGCTCATGTCCAGCTCCCAGCATGAGCTGGGCTGGAAGGGACCCCAGGGATGCTCATGGCCAGCTCCCAGGATGAGCTGAGCTGGAAGGGACCCCAGGGATGCTCATGGCCAGCTCCCAGCATGAGCTGGGCTGGAAGGGACCCCAGGGATGCTCATGGCCAGCTCCCAGCATGAACTGAGCTGGAAGGGACCCACAGGGATGCTCATGTCCAGCTCCCAGCATGAGCTGGGCTGGAAGGGACCCCAGGGATGCTCATGGCCAGCTCCCAGCATGAGCTGAGCTGGAAGGGACCCCAGGAATGCTCATGTCCAGCTCCCAGCCCTGCAGCACCAAACCCAGCAGAACCCCTTTGCTGCAGGTTTTGGCTGCACAAAAGTCCCCTCTTCCCCTTTTCTGTTTCTCCTGGGATGAAGTACTTGCAATAAAAACCCCTCCCACGGAGTGAAGGTATCATTATTGATCGTTATTGGTACCATTGCATTAATGGCAGTGGCTGGGCCAAAATGAAGCTCAAGGCTGCTGGCTGAGTCTGCACCAAGCCCAAGCAGCAGGAGCTGCTCCTGAATTTGAGCATGAGCATGGAACCAGGAACCACACGACCCACAGAAGGAGCTATGGATGAGGATGCACATTAAGTGTCACTGTTTATGCATGCTTTACACCTCTTTTCTGTTAAAAATCCCTTCACTGTGTGGAAAAACAGTCCTTTGCACTGAAATGGGAAAAATGCTGAGGTCAGGCAGTACTTTTTATTGTCTTACCATAATCATAGGATTGTGGTAAATCACAGGATTATTTGGTGAGTGTCAGAACTGGGTTTTGGCTGAGGCAATTTAATGCATAGGGACCCTGCATGGTAACACGAGCTCAGACATAAAACACCGAGCTGGGGCCAGAGCTGTGATATCTTACTGTCTTTGTCTAGAAACTGCACTTAGCATTTGTTATCCTTCCCAGGTAGTTTCAAAACAGCTCCAGTGTTTGTGAGACCTAAGGCCAAATTTGTGTGCTAAAGTGTCAGGGGAGCTGAGGACACTCCAGGGGTTTTGCTGCTGTGCTGCTTTGTGGTTTCCAGCAAGATGCTGGCCTGTCCTTTCCACACTGGCCCACTCAGCTCCAGAGATCCTTTCCCTCTCAGCACTTTCACATCACCTTTCAATCAATAGCTATTAAAAGAACTTCCAAAAGTGTTTGCAAGTTCATCTCGGTCTACATTTGAAGATAAATTCACAGTATGGGCAAAAAAAATCCACTCAAATATAAAATATCCAGATTAATTAATGGCCCTTGTTTGTTCTTTCTATTTTATCCTTCACTCCCTCTACCATTCATCAGAGGTCCAAATTGGTGCAAATGAACTTCTGAATGTGTGACAACACGTCCATCTAAGAAACCTAATTCAGAAGCAATTCTTTTTCTTACTTTTCTTTATTCTTTTCCTTCTCAGGGTCCAAGAATATTCATGGGAGCTTGCTAAGGAACCATTTTGATTTGCCTGTTTGTGTAAAAAATAATCCATGTTTCCTTGACATGTTGAGAATACAACATGCCAGGAATAACTTGCATACTTCGGGAGGTCTTTCTGCTTGCGGAAGTCCAGCATGCTAGTGGCTTTATCAAGAGGTCTAAAACATGCTTGTGGAACTTGAAAAAGGTCTGTCCAATGACTAATGCAGTCTATTTGTATGGATAGCTCATTAAATTAGCAGAAATGCTTAGTCTTGCAAGAAGCAATTGCTCTCTTATGCAAAACACGAAATGTGCTCATCCGGAAAAGGAAATTTCACATCTCCTAGCTAATAGTGAAATAACAGACCATCACAAACTCCTTCCAGACTCTTCTTATTTGGGCACATCTTTTTCCCAGCCAGCATTTTCCTGGCCAGCATAAGCCTCTGGGAGGCCCTATCTGCACTGACATCTCTGCAGTTCCAGCCCCAGCCAGGCCCAGAGAGCAAAGCAGAAGCAAGCTGAGGGTAACAGCATTTATCTTCAGAATATATGGTAATATGTGTCAAAGAAGAATCTCCTGATGCCATGATCTGAAGGGCTGCCATGTCCATAAGGCTGAAAGGGTTTTATGTAGCTTTTTTTTTGTTTGTTTGTAGGATCGCTATGTTGCAGTGTTGTAACTTTAATGGTTACATGTGGGGAGTTCTTAAGGACTTAGGCTGTTCCCCCTGCTACCAGCTCTTTTTTAAAGAGTTTACCTATGATGCATGAAAAGGCTAGGAAAGTTAGGGACGTTGTAACATTTTTATTAGGGAATTTATCTTGCAGGCAGCCTGCTCTAATTTGGTTAATCTCCCAGTGAATATCAGAAAATATAATATGTTGGAGAAACACATGGAAGCCCTGGAATCCCTTGCACTGCCTGGGCACTTTTGCTGCCACGTCTGCTTCTCAGCAAAGGAGTGACAGCACTTGTGAAAAGCATTTGTGGATGGACTGAGAGCAACCTGGGAGCTGCACAGTGCTCAGCCTGTGCCTGACCTTCCCCATGCAGCAAAACCCCTGCTGCTGTTTCTGCCCAGGCATTTCTGTGGGCACAGAGGCAGACATGGTGCTTGCAGTCACACCTACCTACAGCTTCGTGCTGTGTGAACGTGAGTGTTCCTCACTCATCTAGTTTTCAGCTGAGCAGATCTTGAATTTGATTTCATCCAAAGGCACATCTGGTTGTAGCACTGCAGATGGGGTCCTTGAAAAAACAAAAAGAAAAGGTGTTTAGGTTAAGAATACTCTTGTGATTAAAAAAAAATATTGAAAGTCCCCAAGTGTTTGTTTAAAGAAAATAATTTTCATTAAAATGCTGGCACAATTTCAAGCAATTTGATTTTAATTTTGAAGTGTTGAAAATGCCCTCAGATAATTTCTGCAGCATTCCAGAACCCAGAAGTGATTGTAGAAAGCAAGTCACTTAAGAAATCAACTGCAGAACTAAAATTCATTTCCTGTTTTCTAAGAAAACAAAAAAAGGCCCAAGGCTGTTAAGTCTTTCTGAGAAAGACCTTCTCACAAGCAGTGAGAAGCAGGCAAGCTTGGTTTGCCTTTTTTCCCCTAAACAAAACAGAGTTTGCACATTCAGAAAGCTTCCAAGAACCACACAAGACATATAAATACAAATAATTTACTGGACTTTGGTACCAAGTACATGACTTTAACCATGGCTCAGTTGGACCTGCAAGCAGTCTAAAATCATTGCCTTACGATTTTAAAGATGCTCAGAGATGCATATTTTACAACACTTGTGCTCTGATTTCATCAAAGCAGCAGTCTGATCATTTCGTATTAGGATTTTATCTAGATTTACTAAAGCTTCAGTTCATTGCCCTTGGGTGGAGCACAGCTCTCCCTCCAAAGAAACCAAGTGCAATTGTGTCTCCAGCTCACCTCAGAGGAGTGAACAGCCCCCAGGCAGGCAGGTTCTTTCACTGAGCTTTTGCTACCAGCACCACTTGTGACAAGATGTGCCTCCATCCAGCAAGGAGATGTTGCAACTTGCTGCAAGCACAGCTGTTGCCTCATTCTGGTCTCAAGGAAGCAGATTCTGTAAAACATTCTTCTGGGAAAGCTGGTTTCCATTTAGAAAGGAGGAAAAGAAAATGAAAATAAAAAGGAGAAAGAAAAAGAAGACAAATATGCCTCTGAGGAGGCTTTTGAATGCTCTCCTTTGTTAACTAATACAGTTAACAGGCCTGAATATGACAACAAGTTTCCCATCAAGAGCATCCCAAACAAAATCTTCAATAAGAACTTTTCTATCTCATAGAGCCATACAAGCTTCACAACTCTTTTTATTTTAGTTTTCCACAGTTGGTTTGGTTTCTTTCTTTTATTTTTTTCACTAGCAATTGCATGCCTCGGGTGTTGATGCTTCCCCTGAGATAGCAAAAAGCGACCTTTATTTTGTGGGATAGAGTTTTTGCCTCTCTAGGCCATTTTAGCTGTTGATAAGGCCATTTTAGGTATTGATAAGAGGCACATAAAAATTGTATCCACAAAATGCCTATTTAGAAAAGGCAGTCAACAATTTTTATTTTTTAATCTCACTACCATTCTCTGGATTTAATGTCTACCCCATTTTTTCAGTTCTCCACAGTAGCTTTTTCTGGGTTTATCATATCCTCACATTATCAGCATCATCTTCATCAGCACATTTACATGAAGGCAGGTAGAAATTAGAGAGAAGTTAATTCACTGTTGAATCACTTGATATAAATTAATCAGGGTGTTAATCCTGATGCATGTGGGCTGGGCAGAGGGAGGAGAAGACTGCTTTATTGGGTTTGGTAGCTTTAAATCAGAACAAAGGCAGTAAAGGATGAAGGCTTTAGGGAACATGTGTTTTAGAAGAAAAACTTGGCTCACCACTAAAGCAGCACTGCCTTATAACAGATATTTAAAATTCAGATGTGGAAAGAGACCAGCAGAATTATATAAATACAAGAGACTGTGCAGCTTTTGGCCAGCACTGGTCACTTCTGCCCACAAGCCAGCCCATCCTTGGCAGCCCCTCCTGGGCCTGGGCAGGCAGGTCCGTGCTCCAAAGCAGCAGGACTGCAGCACTGGAGGCTGCACAGCTCATCCCAACGCAATTCTGCAGCACATTAGGTTCAGACAAAGCATTAAAGAATTCAGCCCAGCCCTGGCAGCTGGGACATTGTTTTCCAGGACCAGAGCTCTCTCCAGCTGCTGACAGGCCTATTGCAAACCCATGTCAGCCAGGACCATGCTGCTGGAGGGATCTGTACAACCCTCACGCTGCAGTGGCAGGGCAGCAGTTTCACACAGCCAGGAGGACTCTGCCGAGACTCTGCTCCCAGCCTGGGCAGGCAGAAACTGCTCAACAGAAGGAAGAACTACTTTGAAGCAGGTTTGCCAAGGTGTTTAGAAACCTAGACATGAAGAGAGGTGCCCCATGATGTTCCCCAAGGCCTCCAAGTGGGTCAGGCTCTTCAGACTCGAGCCCTGAAATGGGAATTTTCCTCCTCTCTCCCTCCAATCTCCCAGAGAACTTAGTGGATTTGGTTTGGATGGCAAGGTCCTGAGAGGATGGGGGCTGCAGGGCTGGTTCCTGGAGAAGCTGCTGGAAGCTTCCCCCACTGACAGGGCCAGACCTGCTGCTGGCCAAAGCTGGGACAATCAAGAGTGACAGTAATGCCTCTGTGACAACATTTGTGAGGAGGAAAGGAAACCAGGCATTGCTGGGGAAGGGGAGGGGAAGGGGAAGGGGAAGGGGAAGGGGAAGGGGAAGGGGAAGGGGAAGGGGAAGGGGAAGGGGAAGGGGAAGGGGAAGGGGAAGGGGAAGGGGAAGGGGAAGGGGAAGGGGAAGGGGAAGGGGAAGGGGAAGGGGAAGGGGAGCAGCTCTGCAGACACCAGGGTCAGTGGAGAAGGAGGGGGAAGAGGTGCTCAAACCACCACACTTCTGAAAGGCCAAGAAGTGCCTCTCTGCATGTTTGGGCACCCAAACACCTCTGCAGAGAGTTTTACATTTCATGACCCTTCCCCTCCTCCTGTGGGCTGCCCATGGGACTCCCAGCCAGGCTGGTGGCCAAGGTCAGCCCTGCACTGACCAGTGCTAAGGGCAGTAAAGCAATCTGGGCTGCTGGCAGGACACACGAAATCCCAAGAGGGTGACAGGGCTCCTGTTTGTCTGCCCTGTGCCTGTTAAGCTCTGAGGGTAAATGGTCTCTGTTTCACTTAATGCAACAGCTTTGCTGCCAGTCTTCTGCCAATACACTTTAGGCCAAGTAGTCCAACATTAAATGTATCCTACATACACTTTGTTGTGATATTAGTGGGCCTTTCCAAATTTCCTGCTTTTTCATGCTTTATCCATTCCCAGCTTAAATAAAAGCAAAGCCCAGATTCCGAGAACAGAGCAGTGAGTAAGGTGGGGGCTGTGAAAAGGAACAGAGAGGGAAGAGAGCTATAAATGGAATCAGGGGAGCATGGCTTGGGGTGATTAATGAGCTTACATCTGTGACGAGTGCTTACTATAAACAGCAGGTAAGAAGCAAAGCCAGCAGCACAAAGTGCCCAGGAGGAAAGGAGGTGGAGCCACAGCCCCCCACAGCAGCAGGGACCTCCTCAGTGGGGCTTTGGGTGGGTGCACAGCAGCACCCATAGAACAACTGGGGAACAGCATCATCCTTGTGGGAACCTGGGAGGAAAGAGGGATTAAAAAATACAATTCCCTCACTGGTGGCAAAACAGCAAAGTCCTGGCTGAAGGTGCAGCTAGCACCCTCCTTCCCTGGGTATCGCTGGTGCCCACACTGCCTGCCAGGTTTGCAGCTGCCTGGCACACAGGGGCAGAAAGAGAAGGACTTTGGAAAGATTGAGGGAATAATGGTCAGGGAAAATGCAGTGCAGTTTGGAGCAGCTGTCCTGCAGTGTTCAATAGGATCCCAGCATTATCATTCCTAAGGATAAACATGCAAATGGAGCCTCTGAAATCCTCTTGCTGGTTTAAAAGAAAAAGTTTCAATGGAAAACAAAAACAAAATCCTCCCCCAACAAAAACTGGTGCTTTTTTATATTATATTGCAATGAAAACTGAAACTTCCACCTTGTTCTCTGTTCCATGATCCATTGGTCCATCCCTCTTAGGAAAGCTCATACTACTGTCAAGTTGTGAGAAAATGGGAAACAGGCAAAATTGGAATTCCAGAGATGGATACTTATGGACAAATTCAATGCAGATTTTTTTATAAATAAGCTAGCCAAGACTGAATTAATGTTAAAAGAAAATATCAATTTTAAACAGTGAAAATAAAAAATGTATAAACAAAGCTAGTTAGAATCTTTAAAGAAAACTACTGGGTTACTCAACACAGTGAGCTCTATGAATAACTCCAGTCCATTCCAGCTTGATTTTCCCTTGTTTCAGTGCAGAAAGAGTTTCCAGTGCTTACAGCAACCAACTCAGCTCACTTTGTTCTTGCTGGGAAGTTTTTTTGCAGCAGTGCAGAGCAGATGCAATGGGGGTCAGGATCTGATCCACCACATACATAGTTTTAAAGATTATCATTCAGCAGAAGCCACTGTGAGGAAGAAAAAATGCTAAGCCCAGAGCCTGAGTTATTTCTCTGACCCAGAATGCTAACAAACATAATATTTTATTTGGCTGGTTATAGAAAACATGTGGCAAAGCCTCCATTTTTGGGGAAGGTTTGTCCTGTGGTTCAAAAAGGAAAGAAAAATAACTGAACTTTATTCTGCCTGTCTCTGCAATGCTCATCCCTGCACCCACACAAGCTGCTCTCACCTGAATTTTAAGTTCTGGACACATATGATAACTCTGTTTACTCTGCAGAAAGACCAACAAGGTCCCAATCAAAGATTAACATCAAGATCTGCAGGGTGGGTGCAAACAGGAAAGCACCCCCATGAAAAGATTATACTCCAAGCAAAATGGGGAGGTTCAAGATAATCAGTTATTAAAAAGGACACGAAAAGTAGTGAGTTCAGGACAGATTTGAACAGCAAAACACTTCCCCAGCAGCAGCAAGAAATTTGTTCAGTGCTCAGGTGTCTTAGACCTGAGTACAAGGCTGAGGGACCAGCCCTACAGGACCTTTTGGGGCTTTATATTTAAAGTTCCAGTTCCAATTCTGACCTAGCATCAGGCCTCAAATATGGTCTTTCTCCTGTAATCAAACAAGCAATCAAACAAAAAACCCCAAACAAACCAAACAATAAAGGAACAATTACTCATTTACTCCCTAGAAACCTTTCACTTGCCAGTGAACTCCACCAGCATTTGAAGGAGAGCCAAGGGGTGAGAAACATTGCAATGCATGAGAGGAGCACCACAAGAGAGTTGTTTGCTGTTTCCCCCATCCTGACAGCTGTTCCTGATGTCCCCAACTCTCTACCAACCCTTCCTTAAGGATGTTGTGCAAAGGGAAGGGTCCCTTTCCCAGCAGGGCTGGGGGGTTTTAAGCTGCCAGCCAGCTGGGTGAGTGTGAGTGCACTGCAGCCACAGGAGGGGAGGCTCAGGCTCCCATCCTTCCCTCAGGAAGGCTGACGCTGTGCCAGCACACACAAAGGGTGCACACACATGTTCTCTGTACTGGCTCAGCTCCAGGGATGCTTATTTCCAGCTGAGGAGCTGTATCAAGCACAGTAGGAGATAACCTTTCCAGCCTTTCCATCTGTTCCTGCAGACAAAGTGGCATAATAAAGATGTTTCTAAACACCTCCAAGCAGGTGGAGGGTTATGGAGTGGGGACAGTAATAGCCATTGTCCTACTTCCTTCATCAGGGGCAAATCCTTTAGCTTTTCCCTAAAGCCTCTCCCCAACTGACCCACCACAGGACCTGTAACTCACCTCCTCCTTTTTCCCCGGAGACTGACCAGCTGCCTGCCCAAGCTCCCTTCATCCACCAGTGAGGGAGGAGCCCTCTGTGTGGGACACCTGTGCCCTGCAGTGAGCACAGCACATTCCCAGTGGCTTTGCTGAGCAGGACACCAGCGATGCCCCCTGAGCTGGGAGCCTGTGACTCAGCTGCGGGCCCACTGCCACCCAGCAGCTGGCACTTGGCACTGGGGCTGTGTGACTCAGGCTGGCAGGAGCCTTTGGAGATGCCTTCCCCTGATTTATATCTGCAAGGGATCCTTTGTGTTCAGAGCCTATTGTTGGCATGCCAGGCTCGCTGTAAAAATCTGGAGTTAATAAACTCCACGTTCCCATCCCAGCAGCTCTCCCCAGGACACAGCTTGGTAGGGCTGGCAGCGCTCGCTCCTGCTCCACCAGCCAGCACGGCTGCTGATGCCTTTCACCTTGCAAAAATCCTGTGATTTCACACATGGGCAACCCCAGGGAAACCCCAGGGTCACAGTGCCTGGCAGGCTGTCTCTGTCTTGCTCCATCTCCTTATCCCTTCTGGTGTGGAGTTTGGAGCCCGTGGGCTTGCAGCCCTACCCCTAACTGCAAGAAGCCTCTTGGCACCAGCAAGTTGAGCTCCCCCAGAGAAATCAGAACATTTCAAAAAAGAAAAAAAAATTAAAGACAAAAGATGGATGTGTGAGTTCATTTATGGAGCTGTATGAATAATGGGACTATCTCTACCCCTCTCCAAAACCAGAGACATTTTACAGAGGGCAAAGGGACTCACACATGGCACTGCAGCCTTTCTTCCATGGCAGATTTGTGGCTGGTTTGTGGGTTATCAGTCAAAAAGGGTGGAAGCAACTTTCACTTCTCAGCAATCCCATGGGACAGGTATGCTTGGGAGCTGGCTACATTCCAGCAGAGTGATTCACTTACTTTAAGCCACATTTTTGGTTTGGATAAGCTGGACCGACATCAGTGGAGCTACACCAGCTTACATCAGCCCAAGCGTAGGGCTCCACCTTCTCAGGGAAGGTTTTGAGCAGCTCCGTGCTGCTGCAGGCTGGATGCCCGACAGACAATGAGCCCTGCCTGGGAGGATGTGGGAAAGCTC